TTATTCTTTTATATATTTTAATATGTACAGGTCAGAATAAGCATGTTGTTTGAATTTTTACATAAATATTGTGTTACACTGAATGATAATGTAACATTATTTCAACCAAATTTTGACATTTTATTCTCCAAAAACTTATTTGAAACCTTAAAAGTAGACGCTTTACTTACATTTAATGTGCTTTCTATGGACATAAAATCACTTTTGTACATTTCTTTTGATGCGGACATCTTAACGTCTTTGACCCATATACATGTCCCTCCCATGTTAAAATATATTATACTGAAAGAAAAAATTATGAGGATGTTAAAGACTTCAATGAAGAAGTTTATAGCAGTAACAAACATGTAGCAGCCAAATGAACCCCGAGCATCCTAAACTCCAAGCTTTCATCCTGTTACAGTTTATTGCCTCTAATAAAAGCAGCTGTTCCTGTTGTGTCTGTATGTTAATGAAGTTCAGACACCTTATTGTCTGTGACGGCTCTCAGTTTCACACATCCGTTCCCATACATGAGCATTTGCTCAGGATGTGATCGCCTCAAATGGTGCAGACAGTGAAACTGCTGACTTCTTTTCTTTTCTATGATAATTCAGCCGTTTGGGGGAATGGCCATGTTCTAACACTTATCCACAATGCAATGGGTAAAATGCAAAAGGGGTCCCTGCTCCATTCACCAATTAAAGGGTCCGTTGCCTAAAAAAGGGTTAGGATTAGCATGTCCATATGTGTGATTTTCTCAGGGTTTTCCAGTATCAGAACATTTACACCCCAGCTGTTTTCTGTTGATGACTCACTGTAATGTCAAACTTCTGCATCTGCAGGAGCTTCTCCAGAAGTGAAACATCCATCTAAACATTGATGTGGGAGCCTTGTATTATAAAACAGTATAGGTGCAAAAACAGGAACTCTCTGGTTTAACAGTCAGAATGAGGATATTTATGAGTCATATATTCTTAGAACAAAGTACAGTTTTCACCGTTTCGTCTTAGTAATGTTGTTGTGGTGAACAGACATAGGGGAAAGTCATTAGTCATAAAGAAATCCCTCAAAACAACCCCTAACCTGATGTACAAACTTCAATCAAGGCTTTTCACACAGCTTAACCTTGAGAACATGCCGAAATATTGACACAGACACAGAATAACCATATATAGTATTAATATAAAAGTCTAAAAAAGTAAATCAGTGAGATCGTTATAACAGTATAGCAGACTACTAATATAAAATACATGTAAATATCAGTTTTCACTCTGTATCTCCCAATAATGTGTCTTAGTAAGATGACTTAAATCTTTAGTTTTATGATCAATAGATCTGTAGTTTTTAATGTGGGGGGCAAAATATATAATTTGATGCGATACAATGATGATAAATGACGACAAATAAATGTAAAGAAAAAAAAGTAAGCCAAAACTGCTTCAGTTCAGTAAGTGTTCATCTTGAAATATTACTAAAAGTTATTCTTACATTACAAGGCCTTAGAGTTTTTACTGTAGGTTGATGTCAGCATGACATCCAAATAAAACCTTTCTAGTTCTGTTCTGTCAGACTGACCTGAGGTTATTTTACACTTTGATGTAATGCTTGGAATGTGTCATTTAGGATTTTTTGGTCTGTTTGTTTCTGAAAATATAGTTAGTCCCATATGTAACACAGAAAATCCCACATTTTCTTTATGAAGTGAGAAAATGACTGAGAAATGCAACAGAAATGAGTCATTCAGAGCTGACAGAATCTCAGACTGAGCACCTTGTACCTTACCTTTGAAGGGAATTTTGTAAGACGTTTATTTGTTGGAAGTATAAAACTGTCCAAGTTGATGTGAGAGCACATCATTTCACTTTTACATCCTGCTTTTCCTACGTACATACCTTTAATTCATTACACGGCTCTCTGGAATACTTGGTTCTGATTGGCTACGTTGTAACAGACTCATTTTCTTATCTTTAAGCTAAACGAAGCTAATCTAAGCATGATAACACAACACCGTGTGAAGGTTATTTTGCTGACTGTACATCACTTATTCTAAGTTCGCACCACTTTCCAGATCGGTTTCCCCTGCAGCCCCCTCAGTGCCGCCAACACAAGCTTGTTTGTTTTCTTGCTGTGGTTTGGTTTAGGAAAAAGCTTGATCTCCTTCAGCCTCTCACCCAGCAGCGGCTGACAAACCACCAGAGCAGCAGTGCAGTAATGGATGCCTTATGGCCGTTCGCACCTCTGTCTTCCTGCTGTGAAGCTATCGCTGTGGTTGTTTTGAACTTCAACCTGTCCCACCCGTCATGCCGAGCAGGGGTGTTAAACCTAAATAACACAGAGGTTAGCCACACGGAACAACACACTGCATCTGATCCTTCACATACGACAGGTCTAGTGTAACCGATGGGGAAACACCTCATGCAAACATCAGCTACTGCTTTATTTATCCGACCTATTTATGAAGCACAAGGTTTTCACCTCACCCGACTGATTAAAAGTCAATTATAAAAATAGAACTTGTGACCTTTTGTTGTAAAACTTAAAATCAAATGGCAAGCATGATATGATTATTTATTTGATACTATTATAATAATCAGCCAAACATTATATAAAAGGTTATATTTTTGACCATTATAATATATATATATATATATTAAGATTTCTAACAGAGTCAGTCACTTGAATTGATTTTTTATCTGTTGGTATTTGATAGAATCCATGATGCCATGTGTCTAAACAAGATGTCCAGGACCTCCAGCAGAAATATAGGCCCACAACATCAAAAATACAGCAGTATATTTCATTGTACACATGGGATACTTTTTATCCCTGTGTGCACCAAACCCATCTTGAGTGTTTGTTGCTAAAAAGCTAATTTTTT